ATCGGTAGCTAAAATTGTTTGTTTAGGTGTTATTTGATTTTCCTGTTAACTTGTAATTTCGTTAGTCGCCGGCATCTTTTGTTGCTTCACGCAGGAAAAACACACGATACGAAACGTGATGATCGATTTTGTCCTCAATCTCACGCCGTAACAGAAAGCTTTTGAACATCTGTAAACTCCGTGCGCTTCGCAGTAAGTGATATTTTCAATAAATCTTCGGATAGTTTTCAAGTTCAAGGATTGTAAATATCAATTTTATGAAAAACGAAGGTTGTTCTGTTATTTCAGTGTGAATCCTTGCATGCCTGCCAGTCGCTGGCGCCGCTTGTTGAAACTAAAACGAAAAAAAAAAACTCTTTTAAGATTATCATTGGCTTCTTTGTCACCCCACCACTATTCTTAGCAACAAAGGTCGCCATTTCGTTTGTTTATTGCGCGCCAAAAACTATCAAATGCACTCAAAAGCCTAAAATCGAAAAAAAGTTTACAGGAATCAACCAATCGAGCGAGCGAGCGAATGCTATACCCCACATCGTATCTACAACTCGCTCTTGCGCATGCGCGCAATTCACGAGTTAACAAAAAGGAGAATACCCGGTTCCCAGATTTTAAGAATCGTATTTATTTCAAAAGTTTTATACACCAAAACCTTTTAATTAACAAATCTAAAATTATTTCTAAAGGCTAGGATACGGTGGGCGGTAAAATTCACTGCTACATGACGCGCCGGTGACAAGTCGCTAAAACATTAGCTTCGAGTATAAAGAGAATCTCGAGAATTCTCGGTATCAGAGTGGTCCCGGAATAAATCGCAAACATCACACCTGGTTTGAATTTAAGCCACGTCTGTAGCAATAAACATAATGAGTCACAGAAATTGTTTAGGAAGCATTAGAAGCGGTTTTATCCGACAAACTCGTCCAAAAAAACTATTCACCCTGTGTTTCCTTTCCTTCAAATGACCAACCCACATACCAGAGACCAAGTTGTGTTACCTAGTAGAAAAAGGCCATCTGACATGTCAAAAATAATTTTAAGATCTTTCCTTGTTGCCTACCTATTGCACGGATAATTCAAATTATCAGAGCATTGAGCTGAATTTCTTTCTTAGCGCCCCCAAATCCTGGTGTATGGAAAAGCGAAACAAAAAAATCGCTTCCACACTTCAGTAAAAATAACACAGAGTCAACAGTTGCCTTCAAACAACTGACAAATTCAAGGCGTTGAGAACCGCAGGCAAGTCTTACAAGTCCATGATACTCGTTACTTCGTATTTTGCCTCAGCGAGCTTTTAACCTTGCAGGTTCTTGACAAACACCTTTTGGGTGACTAGCGCGATTTTGCAACGCTGAAAACCATACAACCTGCGGTTTTCCATTTCTGCGTAACAAATCGCAAATCCTCAAGTGGCTTGGCGAGGAACTCTCGCGTTTTTTTGCTTGTCAACGAAGCACCATTGACATCAGAAAGAGCATGCTTGACTGCAACCTCGGTAAATTTGTTATTTCGCTGTCGTTTGGATCATCACAGACGCTTTTTATCTCACTCTTCTTTCAACACATATTAAGGTTTAAAGCTATACTCCCCTCTCGGAATAGCCAGGAATAAGTCTACTTGCAGGATAATGACTGATAATTTTTTACGCAAGCCCAAAGCCGGTTGAGTACTCCACTGCTTGGCTGAGTTTTGTTTTCATCATTTCTCTTGTTGAGTATCTCGGTAAGTCCAGCAAATTGAAGCACGTGTGTGCCACAGGAAGGTGATCTCCTTGTTCTCCTCCAGCTACGGGCTGAATTATGATCTGTTTTTAAAAACGATATACAGAGAATACATCATTCAGGATGAGTGACTTTGTTTGATTACAACTTCCAAACTCGTGAAATCTTATATATGGGTCAATTGATAACAATTATCTAAAGTGTTGTGATTGCTGAGCTAAATTCTAATAAATCAACAGATTTCGTTTAAGTATTTCAGCATATCACTCTATTAAGTTATTTTGTAATGGCCTTGAAAGTAATCAACTTCAGGATCACCAGCAATGAAATAATGAAAATATTACGAGATTAGTTATACCTTCATGGATTTCATTCCCAAAATTGGTACTCTGTCACTTCCTGTTAGGAAAGCTGAAGGATAGAATTCAGACAAATGTAACACATATTTCGTCTTATTATATCTCTAAGTTAGCACGTGCTCCATACTGCTTCATTTAGCGGGCCGTATTTCACTGTGTGGCCCGCTAAGTTCAAAAGTTTGCTTGCATAGGAATCGTCTCCCTCTATTTGAACCCAGAGTGAAATACAAAATATGTTACGCGTTGTTCTTGCTCAGATTTATGGCCCAACAAATCCGAGAGGAAAAACTCGGTCCGTTACCTACAGTACTGACCCGGAAAATGAGGTTAGTACGAGGTACATATTTCTTTACAATCTCAGCTTGGTGAAAAGTTTCTTTTGTGATGTGAAGAGATTGGAGCTCACAGGCAAATTCAAAACAATCCCCTGTATATGTGCTTCATTAATTCGGTCACCCTCTTCCTTACTTTCTTGTTACCATCTTTTTCAGAAAGGCTGCATTTATTGGTCAGTCTTGTAAAGGAATAAAAACCAATCCCATGACTCGTCCGCGATTTGATGGCTCAGTCTCACTGATACAAAAACTCACCAAGGAACTTTTTCTTCATTTTGAACGGAAAGTCAAAGAAAACTCCCCAGAAGTTTCTGATAATAGGATGGCCCTTGAAGTACTCGCCTTTGTACATCGCTACCTGAAAAATGGAAATGAAATAAAGTTACATATTGTTTGATAGGGAATCCAGAAAAGGAGCTGAACACTATGGGTAAGGACGACAGAAAATCCTATCCATTTAACTTAAACAACATTAGAGTAACGCGCGGAGCGAAGGGAACACGCCACTCGGCGAAACGCTATAACTGGAGTGGAGCGGTTGTTCGAATGCACAGCACCCAGGTGTTCTTTTAACTCTAAAAAAACTTCCCCGGTCCTTTGAACTACTGTTCAGTCTCTTTTCCTTTTATCTTGTATGTTCTATTACCTTTTCGAGTTCCCTGAAGTCATAATCTTGACATCCTACCACCATCTGCATTAACTCCTCCGGATGAAAAAACTCCTAGAACGATCAGAAAGATGTCCAAATAAGTGACAAAAGGCAAGCCTGACTTTCATGCTAAATTAAGGCATTGTCCACAACGAGCCATTGTAAATAAATAAATGCTAACAAGCGATATGTTATAATACATAGCTGAGATATCACGAGAACCCTAATTGGTCTGAAAGCTATCGTTTATCGCCCAGGTAAACCCTTTAGGCTGGTTATTTACACAAGGTCTAACTCAAACCACGGTTTCACGCAATCAGTAGGCCTCAGGTATTCTCTAAAAAAGGGTTAATTCAATTTAATAAACGACCTGCCACTGTTAGCTTCCGACCCTTTTGACACTGTTCACAAAAATAAATGTTCAGATAGAAGGTTGACCTTGATTGAGTATTGTTTAAGATGCGGTTTTGTTAAACAACGGCTAAACTTTGTTCATATAGTCAGACCTTTAAGTTTACTTCATAAAAGCAATAGAGCGCAATTTGTAATAACCCACCTGTGAGCCGGGAGAACACTCGCCTCCCACGCGTGATTTTTGATAACCGACAAAAAGTGCGGTCAATTACTTAATTATGCGAAAAAAAAAATGGTATTAACAGAGCAGCACTTGCACTCACCATGACTTTTCCACCACACACCCGATGAAATCCTTGAGCAAAAGCCTCAAACTGTTTCTCGACTGACTTGTTCAAATAATAATCGATATACACATCCACATACTGCACTCTAGACACAGGAGAAAAAACATCAAGTGATGCGAAACGTGCTAAGCAGAACAATACAAACGAAAATTCCACACAAAACACTATACAGCATATCTTACCGTAACAAGACAAGACAATTTGATCGACCGCAATTCATAACATTAAAGCAAACCACTGCCCCATTTCAATAAAACTGCACGATACGACACGATGGGAAAATAGATTGAGTATCGAAAGAGAGGGATGGTCTTTTTCTTATGTCACATATACTTTGCAGTAACGCATAGTATATGTGACTTTACGCCTTACGAACGTTTTCATAATTTTTAGAAGTTTTCTATATTTTAAAAACGTTCTCGCGTTGAACTTTGCATTCAAATATTTCTCCATATCTCTTCTTACACTTTCACATCATTAAGCTTATTCTCCAAACAGTTCTCTACATTTCCTAAGGTGCTGACAACAAGAATTTGTTTAACAACCAGGAGTATCTTTCATTGGTGATCATTTCTCCTACTTTCGTGACCTTAGTGTTTGCTTTAGGGGTCATACTGCAAAGAGAACTTAAATGCTATTTACTTTTAGGGATCAAAGGCTTAAAAATAAGGGGTTTTGGTCATCGCACCTGTTCTCGAGATTGACTGGAGTTTTTCCTCCATCTGGAATCAAATCTATATATTCTAATGCTCCGTACTTCTCACGTACAACCTGAGCAAAAATTAGAAAACAGCTCATTACTTTCTGTTGTGCAGGTGACTGGTCGAAAAACATAGTTTTAACACAGATCTTTGAGTTATCATTACCCAATAAGAACTTACAGTGAAAAAAGCAATCTCCATGAAGCGCGGCAAAACGCCAATGAACAAGCTACGATCGTCTTTAGTTTGCAACTGATTGGTTGAAAGGATGGCGCGAGTTTTCTTGACCAATCACAGAGCAAAGCCAAAAAGTAAGCCAAAGTAATGGCGGATCACTTTCGACACAACTGAAAATTGTTTTAACTTTCAGGGTGAACCTTATTAGTAAGTTAGGAGAATCAACACACAGGTGAGAGAGTATTCAGCACATAATAGCTGTAAAGACATTTAGGGAAATGGTACCAGTCACAAAAACTTGTAAAGAATGTGGTAGGAAAAATAACATATCCACATGCAACCCAAACTATATTAACTTGCCTGAAAATTGAGTCCAAACGTTTCCGCCAGGTCTCCTTCTGCTTGGTCATACTCCAACAAATACTCAAGGTTCCTGTCAATCAATCGTGAAAGTTCTTATCGTTACTGGAACACACTGTTGGCAAATTCAAATTCAAGTTTCCTTGCTTGAGGAGTAAAAGGGACAGGAGCTACACTGCAAATGATCCGTAGGTGATCAGGTGAGTTGTAGTACAAAACATAAAGGGGTAAGTTTCTAAAGAAACTGTGGTGCTGCGTCGGTGGGAGAGTATAGCAGGTAATTTAGTGTTAACAACTGGGTTGAAAACGCAAATTAGCCACCGTAAAGGGTAAAAAAGCTGACGTTTCGTTAACACTAAATTACCTGTAGTACAAAACAGATGGGTTTAAACTGAACAATTGAAGACTGTCCACAAAATTCCCAAATAACTGACTCCCGCCTTATGTTGAGGCTACATGAAAAATTAAATTATGCGCATATTTCTGTTCACTGGCTATGGCTGTGAACGGTGGCTGAGTGTATACCTTTTAGCGATACCTTTACCCGTCGGCGTAAATCTCCTTAGTACATTATTATAGAAAACTCCTTTAGTCTACAAGGAAATTTAATTACTTGGCAACTGCTGGTTTAAAACCTCTGAAGTCATCAAGATTAGGTTTCCTGATAGAAAAGAGGAAAGAAAAGTGACCGTCATTTTTTTCTTGTAATATCAACACACAATATAAGTATACAAAACGAAACTGTTTTGGAAAGGTTGTCGAGACAATAAATGCACCACAACTCAGAACGTAAACACAAAGACGTTTATGAAAGTCAAAAAAGACAACAAAACATATGTTTACCCTATAAAAATTTATGCAAAAGTTTTCATGAATACACTAGTAATTCTAAATAATATTCTTGGGGAGCTAAACTGAGCAGTGATAAAAGGCAGTGTTATTGAGGCATACCACATCCCCAATGGCCTTACACTCTGCTGCTAGAAGCATGTTTAGCAAGTCTTCGAAGTGTTTCTTCACGAAAGGATTAATAGCGATTTAAAAGGCGTTCAGGTTTAAGAAAAGTGAAAAGGAGTCTATCCGATGTAACGGTTGCTTCAGGTAGACACAATTAGAATTTGGAATTTTCACCTTGATAGTTATCAGATAGTAATACTATTGTGCAAAAGTTTGAACAAAAGTCTGCAATAATTTTGCTGAAACTTTCTTAAGAGTATGGTAAAAAAATCACAGCCGAAAAAGATTAGATTTCACAAGTTAATCACTTTTGAGAGTAAAGGAGGGTTTAAATGACATTGACAAAACATAGTGCCTTCCATGAACCGAGCACAGCGTTATTCTAACCTGCCTAAAAGTTTCTTATACAAAACAGGAGGAAATCTGAGGTCAATGATAGTAGAGTTGTATATGGCCAATCCACAGATGACACCAATCAACAGGAACATTGGACTTTCTTCAAATGACTACAACAACAGAGGGAAGCAATCAGTAAAACAATATCATTTGGAGAATCAGTAGTGTACCTTCTAGCAATGCCTTGATTTAAAGTCTAGCAGCGATGCCACTGGAACAATACTTTGCCGTTAACACGAGTGACACAGAACGATATGCTAGTCACAAACTCTCTACTCTATCACTCTCCTCTGACTGTAAAAGAATAATTAATTAAGCGCCCCCCACCCACCCACCCCCCTTACCCCCTTAAAAGAAGAGTGACGTTATACGGGTCCGAAATCTGAATTCAAAGAAACATTGGGTCACCAACATTCCTTAATAGTAGAGATCTTAAGTAAGACACTTACCAGATCATTAAACCAAATGGTCTGAGACTCTTCAATGTAGGTAAACATTCCATATTTGGGGTCCAAGATCTCCGTCAAAAGCAGCAAGAAAAATTCCTAAAGAAATCAGAATTTGATTGTTAGACACAGAAACTACAAAAGAAACGCTTTACTGTAAAAACATGAATGCTAAAGTGGACGCTATTGCAACGGACACTCTCGAAAGTAAATTCGTCTTCCGACTGCCTCCACTGAACACCGTTTGAACTTCATACAAACCCTGTATATACATATTCCCGTAAGTGGCGCTGGTCGCTTTCAAACATTTTTATCTCGTTGTTGTAAAACTCTTTTAAGCAGACACCTGGGGAATGAACACCCAGGAAATTTAACCAGGAAATTTAACTCGTTGTAATCAATCAATCATCTTCATAACCCTCTGCATCGCAGTGATTTCAAGGTGCATCGATCACCACCTAATACTCCAGTATTCGTTTTATTGTCATACAAATGAGGTTTGAAACATTTTTTACAGACCGTGCTCTTCTAAAAGGTCATCTTTCACTTATACCTCTGACCTAGAGTCCACTTATGAGGACCGTTTTTGTACTAAACACTGGAAAATATCTTTGAATTACGAGCACATTCACTTGCGAGAGCGTCCACCGTCCAAATCATGTGTTTGAGAACAATGTCTGTTCATAAAAGTGTTAGGACACCTTACCTTCCTTACACCACCAGCATCAACACCTTCTTCACCATGAAACACGACCTGCCAAAAAAAGGAGGAAAAGGCTTTTCCCCAAGTGTTCGGTTTGTAGAACGGAGCGAAAGTGTGAACAGGCGCGATATCAGTAGCGGTAGAGCGAAAATGAAGGTTTGGATCGAGTCACGTTCATTACGCGAACCGACCCAAATCTCTCTCGTTTTTCAAATCTTCTGCTATTATCACGCCGTTTACCATAACGCTTCGTTTTACTAACTGAACGCTGGGAACAGGCTAAGGTATTCTTTTCGTGTTTTCATGACTTCCTTACGAGACCAGCCTTATCGGTTTTTATGATTCTCCCCGCTGTTTCGAAAGCCAGCCAAAGGCTTTAGTTTTACAGGTGGATACGAGGATCAAACGACATACTCATTAACTCACTTAATCAATCTATGCACACGAATGTAACTATAATTTTCAATTTTGAAATAAATTTTGTTGGACATATCAAGGAAAAATGACAAAACGCCATAGCCAAACGAAAACTCCCACAACCTACTAGGCGGGACTGAAAAGCATTGGAAATTCTTTTGGGTTTAAAGGCTTCATTCTCTAAAGTAACGCGATTAGCGTATAGCAATTATTTTGAACTGTGCAGGAACACTAAGTCGAGATCTAACCATCCATATAAGTAACAAACCAAACTCGCAAAATTGAATTGTTATAAAAATTCTTTCTTTGTCAGAATTATCAAACATTGGAACGATCTTCCTATTAATGTATTTAATTTTCGTGACTGCCCTAACGTTAGTAAGTTTAAATTAAGATTGAAGAATCATATGAATGTTTATTGAATGGCCATTTTATATTTATTTATGATACTTATACTTACTTGACTTTTTTATATTTTTAGTACTTGTTTTTGTATAGTGACCTTAAATAATTTTATATTTTTTTTCTTTAGGAGACCCTTGATATAGGGCTAACCTCTGGGTTTCCTTTTCTTAATAACTACGTTTTTGTATGTTATTCTGAAATAAAGTATTGTAAATTGTAACTACAAAGCTAAGCCCCAGGCTCCAGTTGTTCGAAAGGTGGATGAACGATAAGCAGCGGACACCGAAGGATGTTTGGCCAACCCTTCGAAATAGTGATAAATCTACTAAATAACTTTTTTTTCAGGCTTTAAACCAACAAAGTTAGTCGTAAAGTTCTGCAGCATACCTTAAGAGGTTTCTTCAAGTCATACGGACCACATTTCATGATCTGTGTCAGAGTGTCACTAACAATGCTGTCCCTTTTCACTACAATCACCAGTATTGGGTTAACTGGGTCAATAGGTAGTTGTGACATCATCATCCTCACATTCCGGCGATTTACTTCTTCCACAGCGCTCTACAATAATTGCAAAAAGGTGATAGCTGACTCTTTCACCAAAAAAAAAATTCTGGCTAATTTCACATGAGCAGTTTTCAAATGAGTGTCGAAAAACCAAAACCAAAGTAATCACAACGAGAACTCAAAGAAAAAACAAGAAATCCGCCTGAAGCGCGGAAAAACGCGAGTGACTAAGTTGGGATGAGCCTTGGTCTTACAATTGATTGGTAGAGGAGATGGCACCAGTTTTCTCGACCAACTTTCGATCTTGTCCTACCCAGCCTTTAATCATCTTTACAGCGACACGAGTTGCGTTTAAAAAGTTCCTTGATACACATTTGTCTGTTCCTCCAAGAAACAGTTAATTTCGTTTGCCCAAGAGTCTCAATGCTTCACGAAATGGAGTCTACCTTCGGCCATAGCCACGTTTTGATGAAGTGCTTTTCCTGTACACTCGTCATGTCCGGATAAAAAATGCCTTCCTCCAAAATATATCCGTGGCGGATGCAACTAAATTTATCAGTTATAGCCAAAGAGATGCTCTTGGGAAAGGAAGGGACCCAATCCTATTGGAGGCCATGTGGTCGAGTGGTTAGAGCACTGGGCTTTAAATCTGCAGGTTCCGGGTCCCAGCCCCAAGCCTTGCTACCCTCTGGGTTTGTTCTCGGTTGCCCCAGGTTCAACTCCTTGGGTGCGCTTTGTATATGGCCAACTGATCTGCCTCCTCTCATTTGGGATTTTTAAACACTATGTTTATTCATTCATTCGTTCGTTTATTCATTTGATCATTCATTTATATTGGACCTTAAAAGCCCCATTGGGGGAGTAACAAATAAGTATCCATACAAATACACAATCACCCTGGAATGGAATTGGACAGGATGGGATGAAATGGAAATAAAACGTTCCTGATCCCTTGAAAATATCCTGAATTCACGTGAGAGATCAAGTCTGGATGAAAGGCACGTTTATTGTATTATAAAGTCTAAACTTCTTATAGTTAGTTTTTTGACATACCTGCATCTGCATAACAGCATCTGTTTGAAGCAGCGTGGTCTTAGCTTCCGCATCAAAAACAAATGGATACCGACAGAAGGAAAAGGTTTGCTTAAAAAGAAACAGTGATAGAGAATCAGTCATTCCTACCTACATACTATTAATTCAAACTTTCAAATGACACTCGTTCTCTTATAGCAAGATCGTTATCTTGATTGAGAGAGGAAAATTTACAATTAAAATAGGCGTACTGAACCTAAAGCTACCAGGTGGAACGACGTTAAAAGAGAATTAGCTTCAGGAAAACATTTAATTGTTAACTGCACCATCAAAAAAAATATTTGAAGTCATGTCGCTGATCAAGTTTTTAACATTCCAGAGGGTAACGAACCCTGTGGAATATCATCTATAAATGTGCTAAAACTTCAGCTAAAGACGCCGCCATCTTAGCTACGTTCGTCCTTACTTGTGGAGTACAGTCTCACTGCTCATAGTCAAATGGTCACCAGCCTCTCGAAAATCATCTTCGAATGCGTTAAACGTCCGCCGTAGATATCGCTATTTTGAACACAACGCCGTTACTTGGCCGCACGCCCAAAGACACAAAACGAGGCCTACAACCCGCTATTGCTCAGATCAACATTGAGTTAAGAGTCTCTTTTGCGTAGTTCCTAATAATTAAAAGGGGGCATCTCTTTGAATAATTAGGAACCACACAAAAGGGACTCTTAACTCAAATGTTCATTTAAGCTGCTGCGGTTTGTAAGCCTCGCTTTGTGTTTTTTGCCGTGCGGCCAAGTTAAGGCGTTGTGTTCAAAATAGCGACGTCCACGACGAACTTGCATCTCATTCGAAGATGATTTTCGAAAGGTCGGTCACCATTTGGAACATCAGAACGCGGTAAATAGCAGATTTTAATACAACCTTTTAAGGAAAGAGACAGAAATCATATGGTTTCTGGGGCACACTTCTCCCCTTTAAAGCGTTAAGCAAACTTGGATTTTAAGCTTTGGAAAATCAAGGCCTACCCCATGATTAAGGTGGCGCCAAAATTCTTGACGGTTAGTCACAATCTAAACAAAAGTAAAAGGAGGTGAAGCATGTTGTTTCATTTTTAGTGTGTGTGTGTGTGTGTTTGTGTTGAGCAATGAGAGCTGCATGTGCTGGTTTATCCAGTATAGATGGGATCAAATATTTCTCTTGCACTTTGCCAAAAACAATTGAAAAAAGTGAAGATTATGAAAGATACTACACAGATGTTTTAGCGTTATGTAGAGTGAGTGGACTTTTATGGAATAATTCTTGGAATATGAAGGGCCTCCGGTTGTTAGCGATATCGCTAGAGTGTTTATAGTGACTGCCATGAAAACTAATTAATCACAGCGAAGCATTGAGCAATTTTCAATTAATTATCGAAAATAATCCGCGATTGCTACAGTTTTGTTATACTTGTTCTATTATTGGTCTAGAAAGCTTGTGCCACCCAGTCAACCAATCAGATGATTAATTACCACCAATCACGACTTAGTCGCCCGCGTTTTCCCGCACTTTAGGTGGTTTGCTTGTTTTGCTGTGTGTTCTAATTAGCTCTTCAGGGTATTTGCTTCCTTTCTGTTTGCCCATGGCGATCACTTTTTTTATTTTTACGACACTCAATCGAAAAACACTCTAACGCTTCATAACCAGTCGATCTTATCGTCTGAAGAAGTCAAGAATAATGCAGTCAAAACGTCACAATCAAAATCAGAGGCATTTGCACGATTTTATCACAATAGATTATCATCTGATAAACCCCTTTTTCACAAAAAAGGTATATTTTCAAGTCTTACCTGATTTTGAATCCAGTTGAAGAAGTCAGCTCTAATGTCAATCGTTGCCTGTATCTCAGGAATATAAAACTGTTTAAATGGTACTATGTCACCAGATTCTGTATTAACCTAGAGATCAAGTAGCAAAAAAAGCAATCAGAAATATCATTTCCTTCACTCACTCCATTATAAGCTTTTGAGATAGACTTTATTTCCAAAATTAAATCTGAATGCCTTAACTACTGGACCAGTGATACTATGCAGCCGAAATTTTCAGCGTTATGCGAAAAAAAAACCATGAAATTCAGCTGCCTCCAGAGCCTTAACCCTTGTCGTGATGAAAAAAAACCTCCCCTTCTCTAGATTGAGCTCTCTACTACCAAAGTTTTACGTTGTCGTTCCTGAGAACAGGAAAATGATTCAATCACTGTGATGAGGGAATTAGCATAAAGAGCCCCTGAAATAAAAATCATCTCTAAGCTATGGCACATGAGGGACAATATTCAATTTTTCCTACAATGTAAAGACAAAAAAGTATATAGTTAACTCACCGTGTTAAGCTGTTCTAAAACATTTAAACATGTAGCCAAAGCTGCTTGACGTCTAACGGCCTGAAAACAATTCACCGTCAAGATAATGACACTTTTGTTTGTGTTATGAATTCTGATAGTCGCAGCTTCTTCATACACATATATATGACTTTCTATACACTTGAAACTCACCAACGATGTCTAAATATTGCTGGTGTCCAATACTCAGAGCTCTCAGCTCTTTAAATCGAAAGGGATTTATATGCATTTTCGTTCGCATAATTTTTCAACAAAAATATTTCGCTTTCCACGCCAAAAGTGACATCACGACACTGCTGCCTCGATTCAACAGAGGTGAAGAGAGTTCTAAAATTGATGAAATTTGACTGGTTGTTTTATTGCTTGTAATACTAAACGGTTTTTCACTCCAGCAGCACTAAGCTTTTTTTCTCTCCCCCTCTTACACCCAACAGAATTTCAGATTTCTCAGGGAGACTCGGAATTTTTTCTTTGTCCCACGCTCGTGACAAGACGAAAAACATCTTTCCCAGCAAGTTACTTATAAGAACAAGTCTACATATAGTTTGTAGCCGTGTAGTATTTCAGTGCTGTCACTCTATGCTTAAGAACAATTACCCATCAAAAGGCAAATAGTTTAACTTACCTCTTCAGTTATGAACTTTGGAGGAGGAAAGTGTAATAAGTACTTTACACAATCTTGAAACATCTACACAACAGCAAAATGTGACTGTTAGCATC